CGAATCTATACAATTCAATGTGTACCCTGTCTTGTGATTACAAGCACATGTTACTTCTGATCTCTATACCATTGTATGTATGTAGTGTATGTTTAATGAGGGTCCATCCATCCGGTAAGACACAAAAAACAGCGTTCTTACCACTGGTACGGACCCCGCACATGTCACCAGCCATGCCTTAAAAGAGTAAATTTTGAAGCACAAAGAGGTAATAATTTACCTTCATGCAATTTCCACGGAGTATTAGCAAAAGCTATGAATTTTGAGCCAAAAGTAGGTCACTGTACGGCGGTCAATGAGAGCCTAAATTTACAATAACCTGAGACAATAATGAAAGGAGGTAGCCCTTTAAACGGCTAATTTGTTGGTGCCAAGCAAAGGAAGGGCGTTACAAGCCGTCTATCTGTGCTAGAGGCTCACGCACACTAGCACACCATCCTCGTCTTATTAGCCTTCATCGTAGGGCCACTCCAATCGGCTTAAGTCAGGACATCGGCAGCTGGTCCCCAGTCAAAGACAAAGAAGTAGTCCTGAGAACGGTAAGGAATTTCAAAGTTTACTTTCCTCTAAGACGCAAATCTTCTGCCGTTGCCCGTGCCTTCTCAGCGATGTGCACGTACCAAGGGGAAGAGCGAAGTAACTATACCCTTCTTGGGAGCCTATGTATTTCAACTTCAACCTTTCTTGTTGTTAGAGGAAGTAGACTTGTTTATACGAGTATAGTGTGATTAAAATACTTATATGTCTTTATTTTTCTCCCAACAGAAATTTAGTACAAATTGCTTGATCGTCTGTAAAACCAAACCTCCGGAGCTGTTCCTTTACATATTGACTTACAAAAGTTTATGATAAACCACTAGATTAGTTGGATATCTGTTATTTTATAGTAATCTGAAATGTTAAGTCTTTTTAACAATGCACTTAGTTTGATAGACAGTCAACCGTATAAACTTAATGATATGACAGGAGTACTCCAGGGGAGCTAAATAGAAAAGAGACATATTTCGCTGTAATTTACTTATACTCGTAGTCTCCCTTTAATCAACCACCACCGACAACTGAACGTGATCACAAAATAATAAAGCCACCTTTCAGACAAGAAGACTAACACGACATTTTATAATCGTTTCTTCATCAAAGTCTGAACGTTTTTAAATAAATATTCGTATGTAATAATAAAAAAGAACCATAACATTATACGGTAATAAAACACTCCTGAATGTTAATTGGATCAGGATGACACTCAGTCGGCACGTAGAATATATAACATTGAAATCCTAAATCGTTCCAAATTCATATTCAAATGACATATTCAGCTTGTTAAAGTTTAAACAGCTAAGTGGTTATATACAACAGTTTTACAAGATAACAATTCAAAATATACTTGTTCTTTTTCTTTTAATTGCTTTTGTTGATAATATTTCGTTCCTGTATCTACTCAAGTTGGATAAAGATCTTCAGGAAACTCTTTGTATATAGACATTGTATTCAACATGTAATGATATAAACGTTTAATGTAAAGTTAAAAAAAGAGATAAATAAAAACAAATTGAAGAAATATAATTATTTAAAACGATAACGCAATAACAAGAAAGCATTATTTAAGGGAAAAGCTACGCTATCTAAGCATACACACAATAAGTTCAACGACATAATTTCTACAAAAGTTCAACGTGCGAAAATGGTATACTTGTTTTTAAAGTTCAAAATGGGATACTGCCAATGACGTCTTTGTGAATTTACGTGATATTGTTAAAGTCTAAATGAACTGCTATTGTATTTCACTAGTAAATAAAGATAACTAACAATTCAAAATAATTTAAGACTAATTTACAGATCAAATGATAGGTCTTATTTAGTCCGTACAAAAAAGTCAGTCATGCAAAATAAACTAGTTCATAATAAACTTTGCCAGTTAATGAACTTTGTCATAATTAATTAAATGTGTCAATGCGCATGCCTGGCCGCGAATTATATCCAACATGTATGACCTGTTGTTTAACCTTGACGGACAGGCATTTATATAAATAATGAATAATCCTTTAAATCTTTTAATCAATATTTAACAGAGTGTCCTTAATTTAGATATAATTAAGCATTTTAAACCTGTAGTAAGTTAAGCCAAAACAAAAAAGGTTATTTGAAAAAAAATGGCCTACTTAGAAGATTGTACATGTATTATCGCACACGGTTATTACACAATTAACCCTTAATATATAATTATATTTATTATAACAAAATGTTTTTTTCTATATCAGAATATGGACTTGTATGTAGTGTTAAATATAAGATCTATCACCTTACTACAGCTTCTATGTGCAGGCGATCAGCAATCTTTACCTCCTGAAAACTTAATATACTAGTACTTTATAAAGTTGAAAATAACATAACGGTTTAATGAAATAAAACATAATTATCTAAAATTACAACTTTCATTGAAAACTATTGCGTCTTTGATGAATAAAATGACGTCTGGTTTGAGAACGACTTTAACACGTGCTGTGGTATATTTGGACGGTGTCAATGTACAATGTTGTGTGAATAAATGGTCCCCAATGTTACTTCCGACCAGGACAAGACAGTATGGTAGTCAGAGGCGGAGGTACCATTACCATAGAAGCAGACACCAGTGTGTAAAGCATGACAAGAGTCTAGACGCCCGCACGGAACAACATGCTGAACATGCTTTCTAGTAGGTACATTATCTCAACCTTTCCGCATTAATCATCATTATCATCATCATCATCATCATTATCATAACTATCATCATCATAATTACCACAACCCCCACCATTATCATCGTCATTATTATCACGCCGCCACCTTTGTAGTCGCTGTCTTCGTCGTCATCAGTAGCCCATCAATTCACCACCACCACCATCATCATCATTTTCATTATCGCCATCATCATCATCATCATCACCACCAACACCATCACCACCACCACCACCATCATCATCATCATCACCACCACCATCACCACCATTATCATCATTTCCAACGCCGCCATCTTTGTAGCCGCTGTCTGTTTCGACATCAACAGCGCCAGCATCAAATTCATCATCATCATGATCTTCTATTTCTTCTTCTTTATTATTATCACCACAACAGGCACCGTCCTTGTTGTCGTTGTAGTCGGCGTCGTTGTCATGATCACCATCATCATATCATCATCTACTGCTTCTTCTTCTTCTTCTACAGTATCGTTTTTTCACCGTTGTCTTTATCGTAATGGTACCAGCGATAAAGTAATCGCCATGTTAACGTCACCGGCATCGCTAACGAATATAGTTCCCGTGAATATTTTCATTATCATCGATACTGCCATGTTATATTTCTTGTTATTACACCTAATGTTAATTTCCCATACGCCATTGGGATTACTGTTACAGCAAGTGTAGCCTGTTTTAGATCGCATATTATTGTCAGAGGAGAATATTTATAAAACCTGATTAAAAATAAGATAAAAAAATAAACATAAAATCTTAGAACAAAAGAGGTATTTTAAAGTAATCTATCAGTTAAGCTGATTTTATAAGGAAAAAAAAGAAATATTTTTTTGTAGCTGTGGATTGTGACAGTGGATGAATAGCTGAAGAATAACATTGTTGTAGGATCAGATTAAGGTTATAAAGCCACCGCCCCGCCCCCTAAAAATGCTATTACTTTTATTTCAAAAAATATTTTATTTTTTGGTGTCATTTTACAATTTACAAAAAGTTATTTAGAATTTAGCTAAACCATCTATTGCTTCTTTTCTTGGGGGGGGGGGGGAGGGGGAGGGATCAATTGATTTAAATATTTTGTATGGAAGTTTATAAACAGTTTTGTTTACATGTGGCTAAGTTAATGTCAAATATTTCACATTAAGCACTATTAACTTCAAGTGATAATCCTCAAAAGTGTTCTAAATCCATTACAAAAATATTATCAAACAAATGTTTGCCCTTTCTTTAGAAGAAAAATAAATATTGCTTACAGTTAAAATCTACCAGTATATGTGTTTTGAAAAAAGAAACACAGCACACAATGGGAAGTGACTAACAAATATCATTTTAGCTCGACTGCTTATAGAATACAGGCGTCACACTTTCGTGCATGTTGGTATATCGGGTATTGGTTGAAACTTTACACACCTATTGAGCGTAACAGAAGGCCACTGACCATAGTCCATAACTCAAACATGAATTTGACAGAATTATGGTCCTTTTTGAACAAACAAAAGTTATCTTCTTTTACCATGAACACTGAGGAGTAGTCGGGGACGTTATCCTACCGACAGCGCTTGTTGTTGAAGATAAATTGCATTTAATACAGCCTGACCACCCAGCCATTTCACTATCCGAAACAAACACAAAAGAAAACCTGACCGTGGTATAATACACATACCAGTTTTTCAGGTGGTATTATTACCTGATAAACGAGTCAGTTGTCATTCAGTTTCCTCAATACTCCGACCTATAACCTAAACTCAACATTGATACGTATAAATTATTTTTGCGCCGTCCAATAAACCGTATAATTTGCAAAACAGAGCTAGTAAGTATATATTTAAAATCAATTTTAGAATTTTTGAGAATTTTCCCGTCATCTTCAACATATAAAGATACAGGTCAACCATAGATTTCTCACACTGGTTCACAGCCTGACAATGTGTACACGAAATAACATTTAAGAAACCAACCATTTTTGTAGAAAGGAATTTGTATTTATCCTTATGTTTTCTTTTATTCGTAATCTTTTTTTTTGTGTGCAGTATTTTGTAAGTTCGCTTAAAAATGAATTCATGCAGAATTGAATAATGTTTATATAATTAATGGTGGTATTTCACAGCAATTATGACAGTACCGTGAAAATAGACTAAACAATAAATCTGTTATAAAAATACCAGTTGTTAAAGGAATGAAAACAATCGGTTGATCCTCAACAAAACTTATTTTTATTGTTCTGTATGTGAAATTCTATATATTAAAAGCGATCAGTGCAAATAATCAAATACTGTGAAAAAATAATAAGACAAGATAATTTCAAATTGTTTTAGGGTTGATATTTGAAAAAATGCGTTTAGTTTGAACTTGATTAAGTTTCATTTTACAAACGTTGTTTTATAAAAATCATATGCTGTATATTCACGTATATAAGTGCCGGATATAATATCACGAGTTGGTCTGATGGCCGCAGCGGGCTCGGACTCGGGTCAAGCCTTCCGACGTCTCACAAGGATCGGCAGTATAACTCTAGATCGCCCACCATTACTTGACCTGCAGAAAATACTAGGAGAAAAATTCGATGGGTAAATAGAAATGATTATATTGTCTAGGTTTTAACAATTAAGGTTCCGAACGTTAAGAATTTAATTTCGACAATGCATTAAATGTACATAATAACAAGGATTTCCTGACTTTACCCTACATACACTGTGATTTGATTACCATTGTATTTCAATGTATATTTCAATGTTACACACTTTTCATCATCAATAATTTGTACATGTTTTTTCTTTCATCTCCTAACAAAGCTGTCATATCATTTTGTACGTCTTATTTCATTCCCTCATCTTACCAACGCACGTGTTTGACGTCACAGTTCGAACGTTGTGAAGACCTTTAATAATTATTACGACAAACGTTACTTTAACCTATCTCAACGTTTTATATCGGGGTTCAAAAACCAACCGCATTCTTCTGATTCTGAACTTTACAAATGCAATAATTGTTTAAGTAATGTGCCAGTGCAATATATAGTTATTGCAACTTTCATTAACAATCATTCTAAACATGATAATGTTCATTGTCTGTTGTCGTATTGTTAAGGTGAAGGCGACCAAACTTTAACGTCGTGTCATATCAATACCGGGCTTTTCATTCATGTTTTTTTTTGCTTAAAATATAGTTTATAACTTTTACGTTTTTAAAGCAGTTACTAGTATAAGTTTTCTCATATTCAACTATGTCCAAGGTTATCTCCCATTATTTTCATAAACATTGAAGAATGAATGAAATGAAACAATGAATGAATGAATGAATGAATGAATGAATGAATGAATGAATGAATGAATAATAAATGTAAAAAAATATTAAAGCAATAAAATGACATCCGGTAATCAGGATGGTCCATGTTAAAAGTAAACATGCATGCATCAAAGTCAAAACAAAATGCTTGAGTGGTAGTTTCTTCAAATTATTGTCAACCTGTTACAGAAACGTGTTCAAAGGTTAAAGATTAAAATAACCCTGAACTTAAAGACATTCAAATCTGTATTGACCGAATATAGTAATAAGTTCTAATACGGATTGAAAATAGTACAGCAAGAATTAAGCTACTTTTCGATGAAATATATATATAGAGATAAGCTTACGTTATGTTAATAATCTGCTACAATAATACAAAATGTTATACTATAAAGAATCAAAAGAAAATAAAGCTTTGTGGCTTTACTTTTGCAAGAAGCAACGTTGTGTATGATATAATCAAAGACGAAAATGTTTCATGACACGGTCATTAAAGTAATGAAAATGGAGAAGTTAAAACATACGGACAAAAGGTTAGTGTTCTTCTTATTATTATTATTCTTTTTTCCTCTTCTTCTTCTTTTCTTCTTCTTCTTCTTCTTCTTCTTCTTCTTCTTCTTCTGTTCGTCGTCATCATCATCATCATCGTCATCATTATTCTTTTTCTTCTTCTTATAGTTATAGTACATGAAACGAGTTAGTTACGAGGATATAACACTGGCTTGGGCGACATTAAGGGATGTTTCTGCTAAAAAATGGCGAGGCCGTTAGGCCGAGACAAATGTTTTTTGCAGAAACATCCCGAGATGTCGCCCAGTCAGTGTTATATCCTCGTAACTAACGAGTTTCATATACTATAACTGTTTTATCGCAATGGCATAATGTTTTCTTTTTTGTTATAGAAATAAATAAATAAATAAATAAATAAAAAAATAAATAAATAAAAAAATAAATATATAAATAAATAAATAAATCGTTAGCTACATTACAGTTATTTATGATAAGTTCTTTTCGCTGCCGCAAAAAAAAAAAAGATATAGAAAAGACATCCAATGTAAGAGGCTGATTGTAAACTGTTACCAATATTGATTCAAGAGTAAAGGGCTTTTTTTCAGTGGAAATAATTCATTCAGCGGATGTTCCTTTTGATTAAATGAGAGTAAATTTCATTTCGCTAATTATCTGTGTTTATATTTTTCATTGTATGATGAGTATATAGTGTAACCCTAACATTAACGCGTCTTAACGCTATGTTTGTATAACGTAAATGACGTTAAGTCACAATATACGAGTATGCATGACCGTGCAATACCATTTTACGGTGTATGGAAGTATAATAATAAAAAAAGAATAAAAACGAAACTCTACCGGCTTAAACTGGTTTAAGACACAACATTATATGATTTTAAAACCTAAGAAAAACATCTTAACATGAAAAAGTTGTTTACCTTTTTTGACAAAATACTAGGCCGAAAGTTTAAACAGACATATTATTACATCATTCAAATAAACACGGAAAACTATGTATAATATGTAATAAATTTCACTACATATAAAGTTATTTTTGCTGAATAAACATATTCTGTCTTCTTAACATAATTATTACTAGTATATTATACAAAATGGTTTAGGATTCAACGCGACGTTTTTTTAAAAACATAAGATAGAGCTAATCCCCATTAAAATCAATTACGTGTTAAAACTCATAACAGAACTGAACAAGAACATAATATTATTCATCGAACATTCTTATGTAAAATTGTATTGACTGCACACAAATATCACACATTTTAAATGAACCATAAGGAATAAACAATTAGAGTTGTAATAAGAAAAATCATGGTTTTCGATCAAGATGGAGCTTAGCAAGTTTATGCAAATAACGACTTAAAATGAGCAAAACTATTTCAAGAAAATCAATATTGAGAAAAATGTACTAAAATTTTAAGAAAGGTAAAACTTTCAAGATCCAAGCTATATTTTACATGATATATGCGGTTTAAGACTGATTTTGCCGTATTTTATCATTATATTTCTACTGCGTTACTAATGCAGTAATGGCTGTTTTTACATATGTTGACAACTTTTTTTTTTGGAATGTAAGTGCCGATTGCAATATGTAAATAACTTTATTTGTTCACCTCACAATATTTTACTTTTAAATACATTTCCGAAATGTTCATGAAAATAAACGTGAATCTTTAATTGATCGTTTTTTGTTCTTTTTTTATTCCGTTACTAACCGCTAATTAAATCTGCCAATCATTTAATGCAGTTATGTAGTTATGTTTCTCGCTCTTCTTGATGAATGAAATTGAATACAGACGAAAATGCGCAATATATGTAAATGCACATACATTTACGTACAAAAAAGTGATATATGTCTCCCTTTTCAATCAACATGATAAATTATGACTGTGCTGGTACAGTAACTTTCAGTTTGATGGTTTACCAGTTCATAATCGAGACATAACTATATACAGTTATTAACTATATGTCAGGATTGAGAGATCCTAGGTTCGAGTCTTGTCAAGGACACTTCGTATTTCTTTATGAAGCATTTACCCTGCAACTTTACCTAAAATTACTTCACTTCACAATGGTATACCATGGTAGACGGTATGATTATGTAGCTGTTATAACTCAGCAATGAAAAACTTCCCAGAGTAATCGATGTATATTAACAGATCGATGTCATAGCATTAACATTAATGCAAATAGGTCATGACTTGAAACATGTCATCTACTTTATTCTCATACTTAGTTTATAATTCTATCAGACCGACACGGCTATACGGCCTATTTAAGGAATACCTTATATATCAAAGGCACTTACTTTTTAACTTTTTTATTATACCATTAAATCAGCATGCCTCGAGATTCATCCCAATTTTCATCAAGAAAAAAAAAATAACAAACAAACATTGCAAACGGCACTTACAATTCACAAAAAATACAAAATAGCTTTTACTGTACGCAGTAAAATATGGTGATAACTATTGCATCAGTCACTGGCCGCACATAACGTTAGCATTATTACTTGAATATATCTTGAATCTTTACTTTTCTGAAAATCTTAGTACATTTTTCTAAAGTTGGATTTTCTTGAAACTTTTGGCGTACTTGGGGACATGCGGCTTTAGCTCTTTTGTATTCAACAACTATACTCTCACAACTTCAAAATACACATATTCTATATTTGTAGTGAGTTGCTGCACTCGAACGTGGAAGACTTCGAGGACAAATTGTTTGACTTCCTGTGTGACTCACGACAACTTGTTAGTATAGACAAGTTTAAAAAGGTACGTTTACGTTATTATTGTTACATGTGTTTTTGCAGAAAAAAATACAACCTATATAATGAAATATCGAATATATCACATCGCTTAGAGAAATCCCTTCCAGGTAAATACCAAGTTGAAGTATAATAATAATAAATTAAATGTTCTGGAAAAGAAAGAAAAAAGAATGACATACGAGTATTATATTTACACATTCATTGAATACAATAGCCTTGTCGGTTTCTACGATTTCCTAGATTTGAATAATTTATAATGACATCTTGTCCGTGATTTGCCAGTGTGCCCTGTCCTGTTTGGTGGCCTTTTGAGCTCATTTCCGGTGGTCCTTTGTTGCTGGGTTGTGTGGCTTCATTGTTTGCCACCCTTCCTTGATGATCTTGTTTTTCATAATTTACATTATAAACTCAAAAGTGGAATACAGATCATATACTGATTCTCTTAAAACAAATACCATTTTGAAACATTTTGTAACATCTGAGCCGTTTTCCGCAAAACCCGTTTTTTACCCATTTATGTCATACTCGACAGCTACATAGTGTTAACATTTGAGTTGATATATCCTACCTGCACTAAACGATGGTCATAGAGTACAATTGCACGAGGAATCAAATTGAAGAACGGATTATGGTATGAAAATCTTCACTTTGGTAAGGCGTGTATATCAGATAATGATATGGTCCATGCTGCTCTCTGATGTGAGATGTCCGTCGGATGAGACAATTATATAATATAGTGTGTCTTGGGCCATAACTTTATGTGATTGTCAGGGGCGTCATAGGACGGGTGGTTTAGGTCGTTGACTTCAAACCCTTTTGCCCATTACCGCTGTATGTTCAGATCTCGCAATGGAGTTGAATTTTTCACGTGAGGAAGCTATCTAGCTTACTTACGGAACGTCGATGGTTCTTCACAGGCGGCCGTTCGTGTCGGAGGGGTCTTTCTCCATCAGTAAAACTGGAAATTGCCGTATGACGTCTACTGTGTTGTTGTAAACCCAACTAACTAATAAAAATATCGCCGCATTAACAAGGGAATACGAAACGATTTCCCGATTTTCGTACCACAGTATCTAATTCCCTTTTTTGAAAATATTGATATATAAATGAGTTCACTTCTCTAATGAACTACTGGACTCGTTTCTATCAGCAAACTGTAAAATAGCCTGGTCAAAATGCCAAGATGTTTAGGCTAGTCTGACTATATACGCACTGATAACAAGTAGAGAAACTGATAGCGAACAGCATGGATCCTGATCAGACTGCGCGGATGCGCAGGCTGGTCTGGATCCATGCTGGTCGCAAACGCACTTGTTGGTTTTGTCATGACACGGCTCATTAATGATAATCATTACTTGCCTATGTACTTATAGATATTGAACGAGACCGGTTTACGAAATGATGATCCCAGATTAAAAGAGATGCAAGACAATTTTCACGATGTGGAACAAAAACAGCTGCACGATGAGCACGAGCTACGTGGTGCTATTACACGAGAAACATTCAAAGAGTAAGCACGTTTTTACGCTGAAAATGGTGAAATGAAAATTTTAAAGAAACACCTGTTTCATAAGGACTCTGTTATGGAAAAATTAATATGTCATATATCAGGAAATTCCAATATATTAAAATATGGATCTTTCCTTTAATATCCACAAAATGTCGAGTAAATAAATGCATTTAAAGTTATCATTGCCTTAAACTAACGTGTTCAGTAGTTAGGAATATATTTCTTTATTTTTTAATATCGAAATATAGAAATAAAGTCATATTTCCTGGTTGGCATAGATATTTAACATTTTTTTTAAAATTTCCATTTTCCAGTTGTGTGACAGACAATATTTTGCTGATATCACGTGCATTTAAGAATCAATTTATTATACCAGAATGGCGATCATTTACAGAACATATCCAAGAAATGTATGAAGAATGTAAATCTAACACAAGTGGAACTGTAAGTCATTTGTATCATTTTCTTAATACTTATTTTGTGTGTGTGTTGAATCTTACCAATATATGGGGCATGTATATTAACGTTCAATGCATGCAAGAACAAAATGTCACAACGTATACCAAGTCAAATTTAATTATTTTGACCCAGACTGCTGTATGAACAATGTCAAGGTCACATTTTGCATGACTTTTAGGATATACATGTATAATTATCATACACATAGATGCTATAGAAATCAGTGAAGGTCACATGTTTGTTAATTGTTTAATAATGCCAACAAAGATCAAAACAGCCTTATTATGATGTGTATGACCGAGTTTATTATGATATTCATTGTGACATTCCTAAGTAGGTCATGGACACAGTTAATCCAGATTTACAGATTTACATTTGAATTTCAATAAAACATATTTTGCACAAAGTGCGCGGGTATTTTAGGCATTATAATAGAAAAACATGAACTCGATTCTGTCGGTATTATTTAACTGATTGTATCCTTCGATATATTCACATGTTAAACCTCTTCATGTTACTTTTTTTTCTAGCCTGCCTCATACATACCACAACTTGCCCGAGTAGATCCAAAGTACTGGGGTGTAACTGTGTGTACCATAGACGGGCAAAGGTCTGTTACAAACTCAACATATACATGTATCGACAAAATATTATTCATTAAAGTCAATCTTTTATAAAAGACCACAGAAATGAGTTGTCGCCGACATTTGATGTATTTTTCCATCTTGTTATTATAGCTTTTAACTGTAAATATCATAATGCTTTATTAAGAAGGGCTTAACGTGCCCTTGAATAGTGATTTCTTGCAAAAAAATCTTTTTTTGACAAAATTGAACTTAATTTCTAGCATGCTACACTTTATAATCATATGAAACAAAAATCCGCCGCCAAGTGCGTATACTCATGGCTACTAACATTGTTTTAGACATCATTTGGCGCCATAATTATAAGGCACCAGTAAACCGCATTCCATTAATCATTGATGGCTTAAGGTAGAACGCGACACTTTGCAAACTTTCGAGTATGCAACATGGTCTTTTTTGTCTTTCCAGATTTTCACTCGGTGACACCAAAGTACCTTTCAGTTTACAATCCATCGTTAAACCATTATCATATGCCCTGGTTCTCAACGACTTGACGCCAGAAATTGTGCATAAACATGTCGGCCAGGAACCAAGCGGCAAATCTTTTAATGAACTCACGCTCGATTATGAACGTAAGTTAGTTAGAACATATACAAACAATGAGGACAGCCTATTATACTCCAATGGCGTTCGTATGCATCATCTCATCGTATCTTTTACAAATGTTATACGGAACCCAACAAATATGCTTTTTTCTCATCTAATCCGGGGCGTCCGTGGCCGAGCAGTTAGGGTCGTTGACTTCAAACCACTTGCCCCTCACTGGGGTGGGTTCGAATCCCGACAGGAACTTTGGATTCTTTCATGTGAGGAAGCTATCCAACTAGCGTACGGAACGTCGGTGGTTCTACTCAGGTTCCAGTTCGTGCCTGAAATAATGCACGGAAGGACACCTGATGTCTTCCTCCACCAGTAAAGCTGGACCGTCGCCACATGGCCCATAATGTGTCGGTGTGACGTAAAACCCAATTAAACAAACAAACAAACAAACTCATCTTTCCCGGGGTAGAACCAAACTTTTGAAGTTGTAGCTCTAGTTTGAAATATGTTTGAAAGAACTAACCAGCAATTTAACATTATAACTTTGCAAGTGTTACAGTGTTTCAATGACGCTATATGGTCATCAACTTCCTACATAACGATTTGCCTTTTTAATGTTGCATATGTAAAGAAATTTTATTTTCTATATATTTTAGATAAACCACATAACCCAATGATCAATGCTGGTGCTATAGTTGTATCTTCTCTACTTAAGAAAGAGATGAATATTGCAGACAGATTCGACTTCGTAAGTAAGACTGTGCCGAGAAAGGTCAATTATTATGTCATTTTTGATGTCTTTGCTTTGAGCACATTTATAATTATCCAGACAAGTATTTGAACTTTTTAACATATGTTTATCTGCACTAATTAATGGATTATCTTTAATTCCACGGCTTCTATATTGCCATGCATATTGATATGATATACAGGGTCGCGAATTCATGTGACATTGTTCAAGGTGCACGGAGGAAAATGTTAAAACCAATCCGAACATCTCAGCTATTATTTATAACCGAATTTTGGTCCCTCTCATTTTCATTGATTGATACTGCAAAACCAGTCATTAATCGCACATAACATGAACACAATTAATTAAATATTAAATCTTTTTTGCTTTTCATAAGACCTTAATACATTTTTCTAAAGATTGAATTTCTTAAAATATTTGACTCATCTGGAGGTGTGCAACTTTAAACATTTCTTACATATGTAATGTATCATATCGTTGCACGTGCATATTCGGACAGCGATGTAGAAAGGGCGGATTTTGAACCAATCAGACATACGTGTGACAGTGGATGTATATCTTTACATACGTTTTATGCCCGTGTAATATGTTTTTCCCCATTAAGAATATACAAAAAATGAAAACATATTTTAGCAACCACCAATAGAAGAACAGCGGAAAGTTACCCTACAAAAGGTCAGAAATGTTGAACGGTAATTTATGGTGTAGTAACTGTTAGATTTTGTCCAGATTGCTTCAAGTAGCTGCTGCACCCTTCTTTAATACGCATGCTGTAAAAATACGCAATTTCTATACATTAACTCGCAGCTTTTATATGTGAATAGTTCGCATGTTTTGTAGTTGAAATTCTATGTTTTGTGGAATTACAAAAGTCTCACAAGTTTTGTTGTAGTAATACAGCTTGTCACATAAGCGTGTTTTCAAGGGCGTAAAGGCGAAAATCCGGAGCCAGTGTTTTGTCAACCTTCCATATTTTTATTTTCATGTTTTCGACATTTAGCCCCGCCAGCACATACGTGCTATATTTAAGTTGGAATAAAGACACATTTATGTGTCGTGTTTTCTCAATCTGTTTGTCATGTTTTTTGGGGTGCAAGGTAAAAAACACATAAACACATAAAATGTGTCAAATGCCGACTTAATGTGCTTTTGATATTTCGCATTTTCGCCCTGAAACTAAGCTTGCCCCACATAGCACATGCCAGGTACCATTTAGTTCAAGGCCACATAGCTCATGCCAGGTACCATAGGTAAACGCCACATAACACTTGCCAGGTACCATAGGTCTACGCCACATAGCACATGCAAGGTACCATAGGTCAACGCCATATTGCGCATGCCAGGTACCATAGGTCAACGCCATATTGCGCATGCCAGGTACCAACATAGCGCATGCCAGGTACCATAGGTCAACGCCATATTGCGCATGCCAGGTACCATAGGTCAACGCCACATAGCACATGCCAGGTACCATAGGTCAACGCCACATAGCGCATGCCAGGTACCATAGATCAACGCAACATAGCACATCAACGCCACATAGCGCATGTCAGGTATCATAGGTCAACGCCACATAGTACATGCCAGGTACCATAGGTCTACGCCACATAGCGCATGCCAGGTACCATAGGTCAACGCCACATAGCAAATGCCAGGTATTATTGGTCAACGCCACATAGCGCATGCCAGGTACCATAGGTCAACGCCACATAGCACATGCCAGGCACCATAGGTCAACGCCACATAGCGCATTCCAGATACTATAGGTCAACGCCACATAGCGCATGCCAGGTACCATAGGTCAACGCCACATAGCACATGCCAGATACGATATGTCAACGCCATATTGCATATGCCAGGTACCATAGGTCAACGCCACATAGTACATGCCAGGTACACAACAGACAGACTGCGAATCAATAGGAAGGTGTTTATAAAAAAAATCATTTAAGATTAATAAGTCCTTGTAATCGCATGTAGTCTACAAATGTGTTTCCTAGAAGACTGCACTATAAAAGAAAATGTTAGCATAGAAATGAGGTCTCGTTGCATGAACTCTCTAAAGGATACCTGACATCTTTGTGATCATGGTAATCTTGTGATCGCAGGTTGTCGGTCATCTGTCAGCTATTGTGTGTTCGCACTAGGTAGTTTCCGTTTTTATTTGATTTGACCCAAACTGGCAAATAACTTGCACCTGTAGATTAAGTTTATTTCATTTTCCGGGCTGATCCCTTCGAGCTTTGCCGAGTAATTGCACCTGAAAGGACCAACTCATTTATTTTGAACATTGTTCAAAACTTGTGTTACTAGAAGACCTTGATAGATCTTGATTCTTTTCTTGCAAGGTCATGCCATAAGGTATAACAGATTTATGGTCATACAAAGGACATAAAGAGGAATCTTTTTCCATGACTGCATGATATATTTCTTCTTCAAATAAAACAAAACATAGGTCGACAATAGATTTTGACCAGATAAAGATATGATATGGGTTTCAAAGTTCTCGGCTTTTAAAGGGTCGAACTTTGAATCTTTCTTAAAATTTGCTCAAATTGGTCTTTATTTTATTGTAAACGAATATATTTGAGTCATAGTTGGCTAACAGCACAATGTACAATGCCTTCATGTAGATGTATGACCTTAACCTTTATATGCACTTGACCTTTAAGGAAAATGATAAAATTGTGATGAAATTGAACGTTACTTTATGAATATACAGATGGATTTTATCAATACTTTGAGAAAACAATACATAATTCAAAACCTTGAATTATTTAAATGTTGAATTGAGCCTTAAATGACCTTGACCGCCAAGAGATTTGTAATATAAATGTGCTAGTGGCAATCGCTGTATTACACAAGTAAAATCATTAAATTAAGCCAATAATATCAGGTGAGCGAGTTAGTGCCATCATGTCTACCTTGTTTATATTATCTTCCAACCCTCAGTTCATTACATATAATGATCTTATGTCTTCATCACAGAATATAGGGGCGTCCATGGCCGAGTGGTTAAGGTTGTTGACTTCAAACCACTTGCCCCTCACCGCTGTCCCAGGGACTTGGATTCTTTAATGTGAGGAAGCTATCCAGCTAGCTTACGGAACGTCGGTGGTTCTACTCAGGTGCCCGTTCGTGCCTGAAATAATGCACGGAAGGGCACCTGAGGTCTTTCTTCACCAGTAAAGCTGGAACGTCGCTGTGTCGATGTGACGTAAAACCCAATCAAACAAACATAACAGAATATATATATTTTAGCATGTTTGCTGTAGTTGATAATGTACTTATGTGTTGTAACCGCATGTTTTCTTCCATGTTTCTTTTAGTTGTGGTTGTGGTCAAGAAAGCTGTTGCACGTTATTCTTGTGTAAACTTAATGCATGTTTTCTGTCTAAAAGTGTTTTTGTGGCTCTGTGCGTCTCTCACGCGGTAGCCCGGTGATGTCATTTTTACTTTACCAATTCACGTTTTCATGTTCACGAATTCACGATGTTAAAAATGTGAATTTGTGTAAGTTGAAATTATGAAGTTCTACCCAATCATCCATGATGTTGAATTCATGATGTTGAAGTTATAAATTTGTGAAACTGGAAAAAAATGTATTTATAAATTTAAAATTATTACTTTAAATTCGTGAATTCAATATGTCGAACTCAGGAATCATGAAGTTGAAATCGTGAGTTCGTTAAGTGGATTTGAGTTAAATTGTCGCTACTGGGCCTTTTTTACTATCAGCGTATATTTTCTGCCTTTCTTTAGTATTTATTGACAATCTTCGTAAGGAATCAGTTCAAAATGACGATTGTTCAAAACAAAAAGATAACGTTTTTAAATAATTAAAGATAATTGATCAATACGCTTGTACGTGATGTGTATAGATAGAAAGATAGAGAGATAAATAGCAAAAATTTTATGTCAATAATTTGTTTCGTTTAAATTACTAAAAAAGTAAATGTATAGAAATCGACAGATGTATAATAATCACCTATATAACGTTATAATGTTGTCTAGGCAACCTCATAATGTATTATTTTTTCTTTTCTTTAACAGACAATGGATCAAATGAAGCGTCTGACTGGAGGAGAATACTTGGCTTTCAACAATTCAGTGTAAATATATATTTATAATTATCTATCTGGTATATGACATCACGTTAAATAAGTTCCAAATCTCACTCTGTGTATGACAAAGAGTACTTTAATATTTTATTGAAACACATTAAATAAAGTGTTATTAACCCTTTGAAAATGGTGGCCTAGCACCCTATATAGAGGGTACACTACACTACACTACACTACACTACACTACACTACACTACACTACACTACACTACACTACACAACACTACACTACACTACACTTCACAACACAACACTACACTACACTATACTTCACTTCACTTCACTACACTACTACACTACACTACACTATACTACACTACACTACACTACACTTCACTTCACTACAATACACTGCACTACAATACACTTCACTTCACACTACCCTACCCTACCCTACCCTACCCTACCCTACCCTACCCCACACTACACTACACTACAAACTACTCATTACACTACATACTTCACTACACCACTCTAAACTACACCACACTTTCGTACACTTCAAAACACCACACCACACTACAGTACACACCACTATAGAACACTACACTTCACTACACTACACAGTACAGAACACTACACTTCACTTCACTACAATTCAGTACACTACACCACACTACACTACACCACACTACACTACCCTACACAACAGCACACTTCACTACACTACATCACAGTACAGTACAGTACAGTAGAGTACACTACACCACACTACAGTACTCTACACTTCGCTTCACTAAACTACAGTACAGTACACTGCACTGCAACTGCGATTTACATGGTTTCAACACTTCCTTTTGTGTAATATTACGTTTTCACATGTATAAATGTATTTCTGGTAATTAAAAGGCAGTGCCCTTTCCCAGTAACATAAACACATATTATCCTGAAAGGATGCTCATTACGAACGCAGCGACTTTTTTACTTCAAACAATGTGCTTAATTATGATTTTCATCGTATACATAGTAACTTCGCTTTTTCACTTTTTCTTACGTTAGTATAACCGTATACAAGTACATTTACAACGTGACGTATTCATTTGAAAGTAACATGGCGTTAACGTTCTTAAGTTTTGATATAAACTTACATTTGCATTTCTTGAATGAATGAAAAGAACGCCAATAAATGTTTTAAAAGGTTTTTGTTGATGTGTGCTTCCAAGTATAAAATGATTATTGTCAACGTTAATGTTATTTATTTGTACTTTCCTCGACCCGTAAATAAGATAATTTAACACGTGTTATTACAGGTATTTATCAGAGAGGGCGACGGCAGATAGAAACTTTGCCTTAGGATATTATATGAGAGAAAACAAGGTAAAAATACGAGCCGTGTTATGACAAAACCAACATAATGGGTTTGTGACCAGCATGGATCCAGACCAGCCTGCGCATCCGCGCAGTCTGATCAGGATCCATGCTGTTCGCTTATCAACTCTATTACAAGTGGAGAAACCGACAATGCGGGTGTGCAGGCTGGTCTGAATCCATGCTGGTCGCAAACGTACTATGTTGGTTTTGTCGTGACGCTGCTCATACAATGAACGTCCAAGACAGATAAAAGGTGTTTTTGTGTTATATAAAATATATACATGTATTAATACTATACATGTATATTTCTTTCTTTTTTCTCTCATCATATCGTCTACCTTTAATCTATTTTTTATTGTCAAACGCTTTCTGTGCAGTATACTTTGTGTTTTTTAATCCTTTGATTCTTTAAATACATAGACGATTTTCATCGCTGCCCAGTTTACATTAAACGCAATCACGTTAAAATCAGCTAATGAGTGAAGATATGTCAGATTCTTATCATGCATTAATAAACATAGTCTGTGTAGCCGTTAATTTTATAGTAATAAATTTTTCTGTAACATAAATTATTCATGCATTTTGCAAGCTATTCGCGTGCTTGTTTTTGACTTGTACGTTATTTTTTTTACACTTTCAGTGTTTTCCCGAGGGCGTTGATTTACATGAGGTGCTAGAGTTTTATTTCCAGGTCAGTTTAGTTGTCATCAAAGTGATGTTTTTAGTAATAATTGTAATAATTTATGATGATTGTTTTCGTAATAAAATGACTAGGTAATATGTCATAACATAGCGTGAGGTAGGAAGGAGGGAAGGTAGGAAGGAAGGAAGAAACGAAGGAAGGAAAGAGGGAGTGAGTGAGTGAGGAAAGAAGTATATACTACAAAGAATATAAATCAATAAAAATGAAAATAAGTATCAATAAGTAAGCATGTGTACTTTCTATGGTGGCATATTTCTGCCACCAGATAACCTGATAACTAACTAGTTAATTAAGAGGTTAACTAGTTACGTAACTAGTTAACCTCTTAATTAACTATTTAGTTATACTTTCCTAAGAAAGTATATTTTAGAAAATGATTAACGTTTTTCCCCCAATGGTATTATTATGAATTTTATTTCTTCAATTGTGTTAAAGTTATAAACTTATTAAACAGTCTAGACTACGTTCCTGGAACCAAACAGTACTAAGGTAAAGTTTCTTGGAAGTCTCAAGGAAGCATCGGCTTTTCCCGGACAGGGTTTGAATCCATGTTGCCAACATTCCTTAGATTACAAGTCCGACGCGTTTACCACTTGGTAATGCCGCCACCCGTACTCTTGAAAACGTTTTCTTACAAGTATTCGCTTATAATAATGATATTATGTACATTTTCCTTGCTTGTCCATTTTATTAAGTTGTGTTCAATCGAAGTAACAGCGGAGTCGGGGTCCGTTATAGCAGCAACTTTAGCTAATGGAGGGATCTGTCCAATGACTGGAGAGAAAATATTGTCAGCTGAGGCTGTGAGGAACACTCTCTCCCTCATGCACTCGTGCGGCATGTACGACTACTCGGGTCAGTTTGCGTTCAAGGTATGTACATGTTATAGTCACTTGTCTTAAAATTAAATGCATGTTATTTATGATACTACATGTTTTTCTTTTTATGGAAAGCTATTGAAGCTCATAAAGTAAGTGCCAATTACCACATTTTGTGTAAATTCAATTGTCTTTTATGCAAAGATATTTTAGAAGGTTATGTCACAGCGATACTGGTTGAGCCACAAGGCGATAACCCGGATTTACTTTGGCTAAAAGGATCCTCTCTTTATTTGAGAAGAATGTCTAAGTATATTAAGTTTTGATATTATAAGCTTTGAACAACTTATTTAGTTATGGATATTTTGTTATGATGTAATTATTGCGTTTGGAGCGTAATAATTTAATTAAAGTCGCCGGATTTCATATCATAATGGTTATTTGCTACTGAACTGTAACTTTTATATTTTCTTTATTATAATGAACACAGGTCGGCCTTCCTGCAAAATCTGGCGTAGCGGGTGGGGTAATGTTAGTTGTACCAAACGTGATGGGAATATTCCTCTGGTCTCCACCGCTAGACAAGTGGGGAAACAGTTGTAAAGGTGTTCAGTTCTGTGAGGTATGTTATAAAAGTATGGCATGTGACCTTTGACCTTTGTACGATTTTTTCCCTTATTAACATGACATTTCTTAAATTATAAAAACAATGTAAAGCTTTTTTGTAAAGTGGTCATTCGGTAATGCTTTAGTACGATTAAATAAAGTGATATTGAAAAGATAATTATTTCTGTGATATATTATACTGTCGTTCTTTTAATCGTGAGCTAAAGATTTTTTATTATTATGATAATTCTATTTTCAGGATACTTTAAATTAAATTTGAAAAAAGTGTAATATTTAATTTTGAAATAAATAAAGTCTTATGTCAAAATTTTATCTTAAGCCATAGATTTGTAAATACATTGGTAGAACCATATACAACAAATATTTTAATGCCTTTGAATTTTGCGACACAGTAAGATTTATCACTTGTTTAAACCAAGGTATTTTTTTATATTTATTTGTTTTAGAGCCTGGTTGCAAAGTTCAATTTTCACAACTATGACAACTTGAAACATACCCAGAAGAAGATTGACCCCCGGGGACGGGCGACGGAATCTAAGGCACAGGATGTTGTCAATCTTCTGTTTAGCGCATACAATGGTGACGTCACGGCCATGAGAAGGTAGGTACACGTATATTTAAATAAACATAGATTGAAATTTTATATATGAAACGTGGATTTCATCATTCGAGTATCTGTTATTCTCTACGAAATCAGTCGAAACATTGTAGCCCTTTCCGTTACACTTAAGTTAAGAATTATGGTAGTCTTTGTGTTTCCAGCATTTGTCAAACATGAATGCGAGGCAAAACACCTATGTATCCTAAAGTACGCTTTCAGAATGCTTAATGCATACCGAATATTGTTTTATGTGATGCTGTTATTTGATTGTAAGATTTGTTTCCTAAAACAACGATAACCAATTAAATTTAGCTTTGTTTTATGACGTAGAATTGTACTTAGAATCGAAGTGAATGTCAATTCCTATTGACTAGCACGTGATCGCGACGCGACCAATAAAAACAATTCATATGACGATATTTAGTAAAGAAATAATCGGCCGAGAATAAGACAACGCTCTCATAAAAAATACTAAACCGCCATTACAATCTTAGAAAATATTAAATGTGAATTAATACATGTATGTGACCACGTGGATAGCATCAATTTACCGTTTGTATAGCAATGTCCTATAGTTGGGAGGTCTCCCTTTTTGCAATAGATGACAAAGAAAATTTTTGAAATGGACAGGGCTGGGAATCAAAACTGCGTCGTATCCTACAAAATGTAAACAAACGCCGCCATCTTGGAACGAAAAATGTATGTTTTTGTTTATAACTCTTTTTGTTGGAAATGACTGAAAACCAGATATATGTATTAACACGCTACACTATTTTCCGCTTCGTTCGGTATATGTTGCTTAGACAACTATTTTGTAAAACAAAAGTTATAGCGAACTTGCAACTCGAAGCGGAACAGAATTTTTATAAAAATGTGTGGATACGACGCAGTTCATATTGCTTTATCTATCGTTTCTCCTTCAAATCAATTATATACTCGTTTTCAGAGTTCACCATCAACTTCAAAACATAATTTTGCATCATTTACTAAATGTCCATTAAAAAGAGATGTTTATTTTCCAAGAAAATAATAATTTTTACGAAATGATACGACGCAGTTGAAAATAAAATATGATACGACGCAGTTGTATTTTCATTGCAGGATGCATATTGGTTTTAAACTATTTAAATTAAGTGCTAGGTATGCTAATAACGTCCAACAACATTTCTTGTTTACAACTTAAGTCAAAAGCAGAGGTCACTCATTGGTTCCATAAAAATGGAAATGTAATACAATTCTATTAAGGCTGCATTTTTCAGTCGCATTTGAGAACCTATCTACAAATTCCGAAAAGCTGTATCAAATACAATATACATTGAAACACTTGATCGCACACCCATATGACAACGTGTTCCAGTGTTGCCTTAGCATGCTTCTAAAATTGATCACGTGAGTTCGAAATGGGAGTGATTACTATTTTTGATTCCAGTGTAACCTATCCTTGACCCTGTACTAGTATTAATCAGGAATGACCTTTTTAAAAAAGAGAGAAAAAAAGAAGAAAAAATTACAAAATTTGAAAAGGTCTCTTGCTATCGGAAGAGAGCTATGCGCAAATTGCATGCCTACCTTTGTTACTTGTAATTAGCAATAATTTCCGTCAATATGTCTTTTACGTGCCGATTTTATTGTTTTCATTTTCTTAATAATCGGTGAGAACAGATGAGCTTTATCATTTAAAACTGAACATTAAATTTTTAAAATTATATTATAAATGGTTAAGCTACAATATATTATTGCAAGTAGGTTATGCGTTCCGTTTTCAGCGCCGCGAAACTTTACTTCTGATTTTGTCGTATTGCATTTCTTTATCGCCGATGAGGAAAGGTCTACGGAATGTTTTTCTATATTTGCACTTTAGTATCATTCTTCTCCATTAAAAAAACTTTAAATTTTCAAAATCGAGTTACATATGATACAACTACAGATTATTTTGTAAAGAAGGTGTCCGTTTTGCAAAGGTATTTTACGCTGTGCACCGATAAATTTGATAAGATATAGGCAGGCATGATCTTTCAACAGTATTAAAGAAGTTTTCACAATATTGAACAGAAAATTTAGGTCAGATTATCGCATCGAATTTTCAACAGACTAGAGACATGGCATCTTAACATACCTTCATACTAAAGTGTGATTTTTATTTGATAACGAATTGCCTGAAAACTTAAACAAACGTTTTCAGAAAATGACTTCACAGAGGATTACCCCCTGTTTACATTGCAAATTTCTCTGCTAGTTATACCGAAATAAGAAATAAAATGTTATTCTCTTTATAATTAATTCAAATATGTATAATCTTAAAACTTCACGCCAGAAGTTAATAAAAAAGCTGCTTATTTGTACAGCTGACGTTAACAAATTTTGTTGAAAAAAAAACAAATCAGACAGGTGTGTCCGACCGTGGCCGAGCTGTTTATGTTTACTGAATTCAAATCACTTGAACTGAACTGCTATGAATTCGAAAACCACCAGGTTCTTTTTATTCTTCCGTGTGGAAGACCTATCAAGCTAGTTTCAAAATGTCGATGGTTCTCTGCAGGTGCAACATTTTGCCTGAAATAATGCACAAAGGCGCACCTGAGGTCCTCGCCCTTAGTAAAGCTTATGTGTAGAGTGAAAGTTTGAAAACAAACCACAAAAAAGCAGTCATTACCCAGAATATGCAGAACCACAGTTAACTTAGAGCGTAGCTAGCCAACATGAATTCAAGTTAATAGATTTCTATATTTTTGCGAAAAAATAGGGATAATTTAAACCTACAGGAAAATATAAGAAATTATTTCAGATATTATGATCAATTAGGTAACATGTTCATGTTTAACTGAAAAGTAGCTTCCGCTATGTAAACTTTCAAATTAAATGTTATATTGGACATGACAAAATTTTTTCTAAATAATCAAAAGCAACAGAACATTGCTATAAATGATCTGGTTTTTTTTTTATCTAGCGCAAGTGATTATTCCATAAAATAGAAATATTTTGCCAAAATTATCCCTGTTGAAAAGACTGCCAAAAATACAACTGCGTCGTATCATATTTTTATTTTCAACTGCGTCGTATCATTTCGTAAAAATCATTATTTTCTAAGAAAATAAACATCTCTTTTTAATGAAATTTTAGTAAATGATGCAAAATTATATTTCGAAGTTTATGGTGAACTCTGAAACAAATATATATTTGATTTGAAGGAAAAATCAATAGATAAAGCAATATGAACTGCGTCGTATCCACACATTTACATAAAAATTCTGCCCTGCTTCGAGTTGCAAGTTCGCTATAACTTTTGTTTTACAAAATAGTTGTGCAAGCAACATATACCGAACGAAGCGGAAAATAGTGTAGCGTGTTAATACATATATCTGGTTTTCAGTCATTTCCAACAAAAAAAAGTTATAAACAAAAACATACGTTTTTCGTTCCAAGATGGCGGCGTTTGTTTACATTTTGTAGGATACGACGCAGTTTTGATTCCCAGCCCTGATGGAAATCAGTGTTACAAATTAAACTATATCTTTATGACGGTACATATCCAATTATTTATGGTGGCAAAAATTGAAGAAATTAGTTGAAATACTAATGTGAACAATATTTAAATGTAGAATAGTTAAGAGTGGCTCTCTTAACACGACAGTCACACATATATATAATCGATGTTACAATTTTTTGTTGGTAGGTATTCTTTACTTGGAATGGACATGTCACTTGCCGATTATGACGGAAGAACAGCGCTTCATCTTGCCGCCGCGGAGGGCCACGAGGTGATCGTTAGATTTCTGTTGGAAAAATGTAATGTGTCACCATACGCTGAAGATAGGTTAGTTATAAATTTTTATTCAGTTCTCGAGAAATTATAATTTAAACTGTACTGTTAATGACAATATTTCCATTTGTTTCTGTTGGTAAAAGTCGCCTCACCGTGGTACTAAAACAATTGAATGTGGAATGTTTAAACACGGTTGAATAGAAGAAACGTTACAAAGAAGAAATGTATATTTTGGTAAGAATAAACTGAGATTAGTATATTTTCTTTATATATAGTTATGTGCAAATACAAGGAAACAATACTACTGAAATCAACGTCATTTCGTGTTTTAAATGTTTACCTTTCGTTTTATTAAAAAATAAAATAAAATAAAATAAAACAACAACAACAACAACAAAAAACAAAAAAACAATTAAACCTACCTGATTGTCAAAAAATTTGTATAAATGAAGACTTCCAATTTTGAATCTGATTATGTTTTTGTTTATAGATGGAACTGTACACCATTGGAAGATGCGAGAAAATTTGGCAATACAGACATAGTCGCCATTTTGGAAAAGGCGATGTCGTCACATCCGGAACGTGATGTTTATCAAATCAACAAAAGCTTCAAGAGCCTTAACTCGGACTGAAATGTGTTATTGTAATCCAGACATAGGGAGGCAATTTAAAGACGACTTTTTAAAGAGATATATGTATATATTATGATACAAAATCAACGTCATTTACCAGCATTAACTGCGAACTGTTTAAGCTTTTCGAGCCCGGTAGTGTTGTTGTCAAATTATCTCACTTCTTGCTTGTATTTAACTATGATGATATATGATACTATATATTTTATTATTGTCTATTTGTAAAATATGATTGATACTTTAGTGCTATATTTTATTTATATACATGATGTTTGCATAATGATAATGAAGCATGTTTTATCAGCAGATGTATAAATGTTCAGATATATATACTAGTAATGTACATGTTTCATTTTAACCTAGACCCTTGCATAGGACCAGACCAGCTTCCACAACTGTGAAGTCTGACTAGACTGTACACCGATGGTTGATTTATCTTGATATCCCTAAAATTGAAAATGAACATTTCCCAAAATTGAGGTTGGGCTAGTCCATTTAAAAATCTGCAGGGTTCGGATTAATTCAAATTAATTTGTTAAACTAGGTCCATTTTTAATCAGCTTTAAGTAGATTAATGATTTGATAAATAAATATTTCTAAATAAAATGATGACAATATTTATTTCTGTAATTAAATTAAGTCAACCTGACAAGGTTCTCATACATACACCTCAAGGTTGCCGATAACTGTCCGTCCCTCATACATACACCTCAAGGTTGCCGGTAACTGTCCGTCTCTCATACATACACCTCAAGGTTGCCGATAACTGTCCGTCTCTCATACATACACCTCAAGGTTGCCGATAACTGTCCGTCTCTCATACATACACCTCAAGGTTGTCGATAACTGTCCGTCTCTCATACATACACCTCAAGGTTGTCGGTAACTGTCCGTCTCTCATACATACACCTCAAGGTTGCCGATAACTGTCCGTCTCTCATACATACACCCAAGGTTGCCGATAACTGTCCGTCTCTCATACATACACCTCAAGGTTGCCGATAACTCTCCGTCTCTCATACATACACTTCAAGGGTGCCGATAACTGTCCGTCTCTCATACATACACCTCAAGGTTGCCGATAACTGTCCGTCTCTCATACATACACCTCAAGGTTGCCGATAACTGTCCGTCTCTCATACATACACCTCAAGGTTGCCGATAACTGTCCGTCTCTCATACATACACCTCAAGGTTGTCGATAACTGTCCGTCTCTCATAAATACACCTCAAGGTTGCCGATAACTGTCCGTTTTCATACATACATCTCAAGGTTACCGATAACTGTCCGTTAAGTTATCTTCTGGGAATTAATTGTATACTTAGATCTGCAGACCTATATAATTAAATAAAAGAGGGCAGCTATGTCAAACCTATTCTTCCTTGATTAGCGAAATGCTTGAAACCTAGGTTGTCTACACCAACAATACCTGTTTTAGGAGTCACCGTGTTGACGTTATTTAAATATTGAATCTCATAGTTTGACAAAACACTTTTAACAAAGTACAATTGAATTTGAACACAACTTTCCCTTTTATAAATGGGACTAGGAGAAACAGCTACATGAATGGCTACAGATGATGTACTGGTAGTGCGCTTGAACACAAAAAAATTAAAAAGGCAACAACGAAAGTCAGCGATGAGCATCTTTCAGTCTGAAATATAAATCTTTATTTTAAATCGTTCTTTTCCTATAAAACAAATAATCTTAAAAGCGCAATAGTGACTGAAAGCAACGTAAATTATATGCCTACAATGTTTAAACGTTATCCTTAAGGTTGACAAAGATCTAGATTTATTAAAACATTTATATAAAAAATGACCTTGAAGTTTACTTTTTTATCTTGATTTGTTTGTCTTTTTACAATATTTGCATAATCAATTATGCAAATTAAGACATTTATCAAGGGTGAATAGATAAGCTTTCATAGTAAATGGACAAATGAACTTAATGGTTTAAGTTACCTCGCAGCCATTTTTTTTTCGATTTTGTTGTACCTCAAGTATTTTTCTTGTTATTGTAAAACGTCATTTGAACATTGTATCACCTGTTCTGAGTGAATATATACCTCAATGAGTCATATATTTTTGTATCTCACCGAAAAAATAGATTGTTCAGTTAAGGATATGGTAGACCAGCAGGGTAGCTAATTCAGGGGAAGAAACCTCAGTCTCAGTTCGTCAGGGGAAGAAACCACGGTTACACTTCGTCCAGGGAAGGTTACAGTGACTTTCGTCTGGAAGTTTTTACAGTGGGTGGTTAACCACAGTCACATTTCGTCAGGATATCTTTTATCTCACTTTGAAACAAAAATATTGTTGGCCAACCAGTACTTGTGTCATATGAAAAAACATGGCCGTGACCCGAGTAGGGCTCGAACCCATGATCTCTAGGTTGAGAGGCAGACACCTTACGCTCCCTTTGTTGTTCTTTTGATTTAAGATATACAGCAACGTCCTTTAGACCGACACAGTCATAAAAAGCAAGGCCTTCATTATGTATGTGGTCTAACAAACACTGCTCCATAGTTATTTAAATTGCTTAACGTTAGATATAGGATTTTTATATTTGATCTACATACAAAGGTGTTTTTGATCTTAAATTTGACCGTACAATAACAACAAATCTATACGGAAATGGTGATTCACGTTCAGTGATATGATCTGAACAATATTAGTTATCATTTAAAGTGAATTGGTATATAATGAAAGGTCTGCAGTGCAATAAATAATTGCGTTGATTATGTTTAAGTATCAGACATAAAAACAAACCACGAAAACATTATATTATGTATGTTGTTGGCAAGTGTGAGATACATTATCTGATATTACATATATTCATAAAACAGATAATGAAATATTCTAGAACATAAAATTTTTCATCGTAGAACAGTTACTGTTCATATTAAATGACTCATAACCTTGTTAAAGCAATAAAATATCCACTTGATACATTTTTATTGTTTTTATCAATATTTTAATGCTTATGGACAACGTGTAAAGGCGTGTTCATTATAGATCAACCTACTTCAAAGTATTTCAAATTTTGATTAAAGAACAATAAAGGTATCATTTAGATGTACTTACAAAATATTTATTGTCAAGTTCAATATACTCGTATAAATGAATATAAAGATACTCATTTCATATAAGATACAAAATCGACATATCTTGATTTAATTTCGGAATTGTTTATTTTCTTATTTTATGTAGTACAATGTATAAAGTATTGTCAGACTTAACGGGATTGCAAGATAATCTGGTGTTAATCTGGTGATACTCTAGTGATATTCTGGTGATATCCGGGTATATGACTGGTAGCAAAAGCCTGTCCTTTGACGCTTGTTAGCCTATTTTTCAGCGAATAATGAAAGTAGTATAAAAACATTAAAATTAAAGATGAGAATCATTCTCTTGAATTTACAATGATTATACTTTAGTGAAACCATCCGGTTTTTAATTTAATCATACTTTTTAGTCAAAAAAATTTATCAAACATTGCAATAAAAGATTTTTTCAATTTCCGTTTTTTCCCCTGTTTTTAAATTAAAATACAATTTAATTTCCGTATCAAAAAAAACCCCCGGTTTATGTTTTTTGTACTTTAATCTTTTTTTTCCCCAAACCCCGTTTAAAAAATTTCCCCCTCCCCCGCGTTTCCCCTTTATCCCCCCCCCAAATTTTTTAAAACCCCGAAACCCATCCGCCTCTCGTTTACTTCCCCGGCGTTCCCCCAAAATCTCCCTTCCGGCTAAACTTTTTCCCCCATGTTTTTTTTAATATGTTCCCTTCCTTTTGCGTCCCCCTTTCGGCCTTTTTTCCCCTTTCCCCCCTTTGGCCCCTTTGGTTTTCCCCGTTCTCCCCCCCCCTTTCCCTTTGCCCCCCTTGGGAAAATCCTAAAACCCCCTTCCGGGTTCCCCCCCCTTGGGGGGCCAGTGTTTGCCCTTTGGTTTTCCCCCCCCCCGCCTCCTCCCCCCCTTTTTTTTGCCTTTTTGAAAATTGTGTGAAATTTTTGTTCCGTTTTCCCTTCCTTTCCCCTGTTTTCCCTTTGTCCCCCGCCCCCCCCCTTTGGGGCCCCCCCCGGGCTTTTTGGGGCCCCCCCCCGGGTTGCCCGGGTCCCGGTTCCTTTTTGGGGTCCCCCCCCCAAAGTGCGCCCCCGGTAACCCCTTTAAGGGTCCGAAAAAAAAAACCCCCCGGAAAAAAAAAAGGCCCGTTAAAAAAAAAAAAAAACCTGGTTCCCGGCCCCCAATTTCAAAAACCCCAAAGGTTCCCCCGTTAAACCCCGGGGGGGGGCCCCCTTTTTTTTTTTTATGCATTTTTTAACATCAGGCAAACGACCGCACTTTGGGGTCATAGAAAATTTATGTTCATTATGTTTTAAATAATATATTGTAGACTTTGTAGTCAAAGCCAATGGTAAACGAAAAATCAAGGTATTAAATAGACACAAACATGTGCCATGAATTATAGTAGAATCAATAGGGATTTAAATGGTCTTGATTAGTAAGTGAAGAACTTTCACCAAATAAATCACCAAATAAAGAATTTGTATCAATTATTAAGCTTAAAATATTTTTTCTCAAATTTTCCATGTATTTTAAAAGAATGTACACCTTTCATTAACTCCATTGTTTTTAGCTAAATGCATTATTTTCCCGTTTTTTATTTACACATTTTTAAGAAATATGATAAAGGTAAAGCATAGACAAAGGTATAAATTCTGGGAAATCTTAGTAAGACATTTCAGTAAAAAATGTGCCTGATAATATGTTGAAAGAGTCATTTATTTAGCTAAATGTGACATAAAAGAAACTTGAGGTGTAGATCCGGCTTTAAGTAGTAGTCCGTACAGGCAGGACTAAAACTATCAACTATTTAAGTAGTCGCACATTAAGAGCGGAGCTTCAGAATAATGTAAAATTCTCACTGGGGTATAGAGGGGATTGTGGGGTATCGAACCCCAGGAGGGTTAAAAATAATGTTTTAAAGGTACATTATGCTTTTATTATTTTTTTAAGCTTTTTATTTTGATGTTCTTCTATATTATCCAAAAAATACACATTGGCCAATTACCTGAACCATCTTTTTCATCTGTTGCTTTTTGGCAATGATGAGTACAGTTATAGTGAATTAGTATTTTATATGGAAGTCAAATACTACAGTGTTTTGACTACTTTATGACGAATAATTTTACAGTTATCGCTATATTATTCAGATAACAAGCATCTTACATTTCTCTGATACCATTATTTTAACATTATAAAATTCATGTTTGCTCTTTCTAAAGAAATATGTAAGATTTCCCATAAAAAGCCTCTGGTGAACGGTTGTTAGGAGCTTACAAAAACCCTTTTTGTTGATAAGCTTAATAATGTATTTGTAAAAATCACTATTTATAGTCCGATCGAAAAACTTGATTTTTCACCAGAACATTGCAATAGAGTATATATATAGTTCTTTGGAAAAATTTTTTTAACTGCATTTTATTTCATTCCCAACATATTGAAAATGGGGTTCAATATGGCACCAAAAGTTATCAAGTAAATGACCGACAGAACGGGATATTTTTCGCAGCATCTTTTAATTCTAGGAATACACAATTTCTGTACTAGGGAATTTTGAACGGTGGCATAAAAGTGACATATGTATTTTTTTTGTACTTTTTTTGTTTTTCGTACATAAGTTTTGTTTGTTTGTCGTACATATTTTATTTAGTTTTGAATACATATTCTTTTTTAGTTTGCAAACACATTTTATTTTAGTTTTTTGTACATATTTTTGTTTTTTTTCGTACATATTTTTACATGACGCCATTTGCAAAATAGAGGTTTGGATAATTACACCATTTGTTAAACACCATTTTCAAACACTTCGCCATCTGTAAATTACAGTACCCCATTTGCAAATGCCATTTGAATATACCAACATTTTCATTTTTGGAGGTATCAAAAAAATAAGAACACTTTTTAGTATCCGCGATAACCCAAAGAAAGGTTCTGCATATGGTCGCGATGTAGTTAACATTTGTCACAAGGTGCCTTAAAATCTTTCATGGGGTTTCGGAGATAATGAGCGGACATGAAACCCAAGTCTTTATCCTTTGACCTGTAGGTGTGACCCCGACCTTGAGCCGGCACACCTCACATATAAATTCTGCACATTATCTGGATGTGCTAAGGAATTGACCTAAGTTTCATAATTCTCAATTCTCAGGGGGTGGGGTTGAGTGGTGCATATTCATGGAATAATAACTGATCACCAATCAACAGCCCTTTCCAATTAGACACAAATATAACAGTATATAATAATAAAAAACAATAATTATATACAATACATATAATATAAAAAAATGGGCCGAAAAGGGTCGGCCGAAACCAGACTTGCCCGGCCGAAAACGACTGGGCCGATTCCAAAAATGGGCCGAAATGTGACCAAACCACTGTGCCAGTTTTATACTCAACTATGGGCTGTTATGAGATTTGAAAGCTGTTTTGATTGGCTAAAATATGTTTAAAAAACAAAAATAAAATATGTACGAAAAACAAAAAATAAAATATGAATGCAAAACTGAAAAAATATGTATGCAAAACTAAAATAGAATATGTATACAAAACTAAAAACAAAAAATGCAAATGTCACTTTCATGCCACCGTAATTTTGTTATATGAACACAACTTTTAGATATCTTAAGAAGTAAAATTAATTAAACTTTTATCACTTAAGCATCATAAGTTTTGACCGCCATCTTGAACTCCACCTCAAATATTCCAATGTGTATTCCCTATATTCCAGTCGCTGGCTGGATAGCTTTTAAAACATTGACAATTTATCATTCTAACCCCTGGCGGTGACGGAAACTGACTTGAAAATTGTCAGCCTGTTCTTGTGTAATGAGCAAAGTTGTCACGTGAGCTTATAACGATAAAAATCCATTCAGAAAGTGGTTCGAGAACATGACTTCAAATTCATTATTTCAAATTTACTTAAATTTCTTTTGTAGTAAAATGTAGATTTGCAGTATTTTCAAATTACGCATTAATGAATAAGGGAATGGTTACAAGAGTAAAATTTCAGTGTCACGTCGGATAGAAACCTGTTTTTCAAGCTATTAAAGCAGGGGAAAAGAAGCAAAACGTTTCGTTAATATGCATTTATTTAGGTTTAATATATCTGCTATAAGTACCACAGCTAGCTATTGATACTGATCAACCAACCAACCAGCCAATCAACTAATGAATGATTGAATAATCTATAGATGGACAGACGAACGAACGCGAACGTACAAACGGAGGCGAACGGACGAAAAATCCATTATTTTGGGGGTATATGGGCTTGGTTTGATCTTTATTTGGCATTTTCCCACAGTGTAAATTACTATAGATCCGTTATTCAAAAAAACAATTTCAAACGGAAAACCCTTTTTTTTTATTGGGGGGGTTTTCCCCGGAAGAACGAAAGGAAATTTAACGAAAGAACCAAAAAAAAAATTAATAACCCTTTTAAACCCAAAATGTTTTCAGGGTTTTAAAACCATTTGTTTTAATGAGAAAAATTTTTAAAATTCTTTTGATTTTCCTACTAAAAATAAACCCCGTTGGGCCTAGTAAAATTAAAAATATATACAGTTAAAGAGTGCAATTTTGAGGGCCCCGTCATTTACAAAAACCCAAAATAATTTGGGGGGTTTCCCACCAGGGATGGATCCACCCCTGTTTGATCAGCACTTATTTTCTGTTCGCACACCCAAAACCTATAACAAGAAAGAAAACTGTAGCGAACACAAAATCCTAAACAGAACGCGGATGCGCAGGCTGGTCTGGATCCATGCTTGTTGCAAACCCATTATGTTGGTTTTGAAGTGACGCGGCTCATTTGTCATTTTTAAAATAACATCTTTATGAGAGATCTTTTATTATGGAACCAATGAAACTTTAGAATTTCAAACGAATACAGTATACATACAATATATAATTGTTTTACTTTTATTTGAATGGACTGTAACGCTAAGCTCTGATTATTATATGAATGGTAATAATTTGATAGTTTGATTATGGGTTATTCCATATGTTTATCATATTAAAATCTTTGTAATTCTATTTCTTCATACTTCAACGTTGACTGAATGCCATCTAGCTAAGTAAGATAAACAAATATCGTTATAACATCAAGTGGCAAAACTAGCTATTTTTTGAGGAATTAATATAAAACGCATTTATGGAGCAATTGGCAATACTCGCATTTTGGGGGAAATTATAAAAACTCGCAATTTAGGATGAATTGGTAAAACTCGCATTTTGGGAGCAATCGGCAAAACTTTCATTTTGGGAGCAATTGGTAAATTCGCATTTTGGGAGCTTTTTTTAAAACTCGCAATTTGGGAACAATTGGTAAAGCTCGCTTTTTGGGAGGTATTTGTTATTTTAGTGACATTATGCTCAAATTTTCATAGTCAAGTTGAGCTGAGCTTACTATATATTTCAGAATATTGACTGTTAAAATGGTGATTGACCAACTATTCATATTGGAGAATGTTTAGAATAAAATTTAAATCTGCCTAAAATATAAAAAGACTGCCCCACTCTTTTTATGAACTGAACGTTACAGGTAAATTCTAATGGTTATTTACGAAAAAATCATTTGAATCCATGCGTTGTTTATTGCTAATGGGAAATCATTTTTTATATTAAAAGGAATTATGACAAAATGAAAACTTATCATGTCTTTCACCTGTTCACTCATTTATACCCTTGGATGCGCAGGCAAGATGGTGAAATCGCGATGGTACGATGGAGAAAACGCGACAGTACGATGGTTAAATCGCGATGGCGCGTTTGCACCATTGTGCTATCGCGCCATCGCGATTTCACCATCGTTTCATCGTGCATCGCGGATACAGACTAAATATAACATCACGATTGACCAAATGTAACACCGTAGATTTCCCTTTTTTTCTGATCACAAGTGTTTGTTTTTAAAGAAACTTTTTATAAAATGTAAAACAGAATAATCATTTTAATTCATTTTAGTTGTGATGTTATATAATTTCTTTTGTATGTAATTGCATCATTACAATTTGCAACTAGATTACTTAAATTGAATAATAAATATATATACATGTATATATAAAAACATAATTTTGCAGATACGTTCGGTCCTGTATACGTAAGAGGTTGTTAGTGAAGCGAAAGTATAATGTTTTTTTTCACCA